CTTGAGCAGATCGAGCTTTTTCTCCATCTCCTTCGCAAGAGAGGGATTCTTGAAAGAGGCTTTATTAAGTCCTACAACCGTGAGATGACATAAACTCCTTGCCTGAGACTCTTAGTCTTTGCCATGCTCATGAACAATTCTGCTACAAACATGTCAATGTCAGTGTCTGGACCAGAATACTTCAGAAGCGAAAGTTGCGCATAGGTCTCAGACAAGCCAGGCGAGGCACACCAAAGGGATCCTTTTCCTGAACCCTAGGTCTTTAGGGTTTAGGGTTTAGGGTTCATGGGCTTCAGATTCATGTTTAGCTATGCCCAAGCCTTGGACCCCCAAACCCTCCATCAGGTCAGGAACCCTAAATCCCTACTAAGCCGGGTTGAATCTCCAAACAGCCTCCAACTTTCTCCTACACGCTACATAACACCTTGTCCTACTACACCCTAAACCCTAAAATCCACATAACAGCCGGGCTGCCAATGATTGCTTCACGCTCGGAGCCAGATGTCAGGTTAGGCTTGTGGGCCAGCTGGGGAGGGAGGGAGAGAGGAAGGGAAGGGAAGGGAAGGGGAGGGGAGGGGAGGGAGGGAGAGAGGAGACATCCGATTCTCACACTCGCACACAGCAGGCAACAGGATTTAGGAATAAGGGTTGGGGTTCAGGGTTTGGGGTTGCAGTCGCAGTCACTCTACAGGGTTTGGGTTTGTAGGGTCTAGAGTAGGGTTTCGACACTCACACTCGCATACCGGATTCAGGAATAAGGATTACGTTTGGGGTTTAGGGCTTGGGGTTTAGGGTTTAGGGTTCAGGCAGCGAATGTCTCTCTGCCGCCCTCCTAAACCCTATAAACCCTAAACCCTCAGTTCTCCGTACCTGACACTATGCGGCGAATGTCCCTGCCGCCTTCCTACTTTCACCTTACGCGGAGAATGTTTCTGCTGCTCTACCTACTAGGTCCTACTCACTCTAGACGTGCTACCCTACTCGGGGAATGTTTCTGCCGCTCTACCGGATCCTAGGCCCCACTCACTCTATGTTCTACCCCAAGCAGCGAATGTGTCTGCCGCTCTAGACCTCGCAGTCCTACCTTTCACACTAATTACTAAGCGGCGAATGTCCTGCCGCCCTACATTAGGTTTAAAGGGTCATAAGCATTCTCTGAGCCCGCGGCGTCATCTCGGCTGTCACACTCGCTGAAGCCGCTGAAGGCAGGTTGGGTTTAGGGTTTGGGTTTAGGCGGGGACGGTCTATGAGCCCTGTGGCTACCCGGACGGGCAAGGCTTTCAACATCTATCACTCTCTGACTGGTAGAAACTAAAAGACCTTTTTGGGTTTTTTGGGGGCCAGCTCTGCCAGCTCCTTCGCTCCCCGCAGAGCAGTAGCTAGCAAAAAATAGTGTCAGGGCCTTTGCGGTTTGGGGTTTAGGGTTTCGGGTTCTAGAGGGCCTTGGACAGCAACCCAATAGTCTGACAAAGCCGGCTCGACGTACAGCGCCATCACGCAGAGGACCTGGCACGATCACCCGAGCTGTTGCGAGCCGGACACCCTCAGCTACCCCTAAACCCTAAACCCTAAACCCTAACCCTAAACCCTAAACCCTCAACCCTAAACCCTAAACCCTCAACTACCCTGAGCCCCAACAGTCTGACGCTCCCAAAACTAACCCTGGAAAGCCCGAAGCCCCACACCTGAACTCCGCCTCCGGGTGATGTTAGGGTTTTATCGACCTTAAGGGGTCTTGAATTCAGGGTTCAGGGGTTTAGGGTTTAGGGCAGGGGTTTAGGGTATAAGGCTTAGCGCTTCAAGTGTCAGGGCTTCAGGGCGTGGACGATTCTGAAGTGTTCAGGGCTTTGGACCTTCTAAAACCTGTGCAACGCTTCAACACCATGGTGTCATTAACCCTAAACCCTAAACCCTAAACTCTGAACCCTGAACAAAGTCATAGGAGCCCTGGCACCTTCCTAGTGGAAGAAGTTTAAATTCCAAGACTTCGGGTTGACAGCTCCGGGCGAGGCCGCCTAACAGGTTTAGGGTTTAGGGTTTAGGGTTTGGGGTTTAGGGTTTAGGGTTTAGGGTTTAGGGTTTAGGGTTAAGGGTTAAGGGTTTCCATGCAAAAGGACTTATAAGACCTTTGTGCACCCGATGTGCTGGTGAAGCCATGGTTGCAACAAGATTCTCTGCCGCTCCGTGTGGGAAGATGCCTTAACCCTAAACTCTAAACTCTAAACCCTAAACCTTAACCTGAAACCCTAAACCCTAAACCCGAAACCCTAACCCCAAACCCTAAAACCCCCCCAACCCCTACACAACCTGCAACCCAAAGGGGATTCGAAGAATGGGCCCTTAATTCAGGTCCCCTGTTATATAAATACACTATACATAATAAGGGGGCGCATACTTCGGATCCCTTTAAATCCCGACTTTACAAACCCAGTTCCCGAGGCATCGACGCAGGTGGAGGGGTCCGTTGAGCCGGTCGGCAGCAGTAGGTACGCCTTCGAGGTATTAGGGTTTATGATAATTCATGGGCTTCTAGGGTCTCGGGTCTAGGGTTTAGGGCTTTCGGATTTAAGGTGGTTTATAGGATTTAGGGTTTAGGGCTTTTCATGGGGAATTAAGCTCGGTGTCAGAGGGTTGTCATAAGGGAACCCTATCTTGAAAATATTCAAGGGAACAAGGGTCCTTAAAACCCTAAATCCTAAATCCTAAACCCTGAACCCTACACCCTAAGCACTAAACCCTACAAGCCACCCTAAACCCTAAACCCGAAAACCCTAAACCCTAAACCCTAAACCGTAGACCCTATAACCCGGTCCTAGTTTGGGCCTTGGGGGACTAAGGGCTTACAGAGTTTCGGGTTTAAGGCTTGGGGCTTGTGCACTCTGGCCTTGCCGGGTTTAGGGTTTAGGGTTCAGGGTTTAGGGTTTAGGGTTTAGGTTTAGAGGCCATGGTTAGGGTTTTGTGCATAGGGCTTTTGGGGGTTGAGGATTGCTTCAATCGGGATGTCCGGTTGGGGGGCTTTGTGTGTTCAGCTTAGGGGTTAGGGGTTAGGGGGTTAGGGGTCTGGGCTTCGGGCTTTAGGGTTTATGGTTTCAAGATCGGGTCTCCAAGGCCTTGGGAGTTGCGGGTCCAACGTTTCGGGATTCACCCTAAACCCTAAACCCTAAACCCTAAACCCTAAACCCTAAACCCTAAACCCTAAACCCTAAACCCTAAACCCTAAACCCTAAACCCTAAACCCTAAACCCTAAACCCTTTGAACGTCCATGCCGACGCAGTAGGGTTCAGTGAACCAGGCTCTTGAGGCTTGGGGATGGGGCCTTGGCGACGATTGGTATGTAGTTAGAGTTGAGGCAAGCCTCAAGCTTATGATCACTAAACCCTAAACCCTAAACCCTAAACCCTAAACCCTAAACCCTACACCCTAAACCCCAAGCCCTGATCCCTACCAAGCATCTCCAATTCCGCCCAGCAGCTGCTTTCTTGGTGCCCTCTTCGAGGTAGCAAAGGCAGTCGTACGTAGCACCTGCCTGTTTAGGGTTTAGGGTTTGGGGTTTTAGGGTTTAGGGTTTTAGGGTTTTAGGGTTGTGGGGTTTAGGTTTAGGGCTAGGGCTTAAGGATGTTTAGGGCTTAGGCTTTCCTTGGCCTCGAGAATATCGGAACTACCTAAGACAACACGGTCTCTGGGCCCCAAAAATCCTAAAGCCAGAGCCCTTCGAGGCTGGTTGATCCGCGAGCAAGACTGCTTTCATCATAAATCGGGTTCTGAATTCCCTAAACCCTAAACCCTAAACCCTAAACCCTAAACCCTAAACCCTAAACCCTAAACCCTCCAGGCGATAGGCAAGGGTCTCAAGGTGTGATGCTGTCTTCTCTCAGCTCTGTCTCAGGGCTGTGTTCGTGACCCCCTGGTACTAGTTCATGGTTGGGATCCCAGTTGCTGAAGTCGTTGCGTTTTCCTTTTTTCAGCGGCAGACATTGGGGGGAAGCTTTGTTGTGAGGTCGTTGCGTTTGGGTGTGCCCCTGGGGGAAATGTTTTTTGTATTATCATTGTCAACGCCGTTTGCGTGGAGTCGACACATATAGATTTATTTACATCAGGCAACGCTAGCAAAATCCCATGTCGAACTCTAAACCCCTAAGCCCTGCAGCTAAAGCCTGAACTCTAAACCTGCAACCCTCGGATGCGAAGTAAGCGCTCACTCAGTGGGTTGAAGGTTCGGGAAATGTGATTGAATGCACATCCGCCAGACGAGGCAGATTCAGATGAACGTGGGCCATTGTTGGCATTTGGGGCCCCGGGGTATCGTTGAGGTATCGTTGAGGTATCGTTAGGGGTATCGTTAGGGGCGCAGTCCTCCAACCAGATTTCACCAACCTTAAGCCACGAGGGAGCGGATGGCATATGGAAAGAATCTTTGCCGGGTGGCAAGTGTCCGGGTTTAACCCTAAACCTGCACCCTGCTTAAACCTAAAGCCTACACCCTATAAGGGCCTAAACCCCAAACACTGACCCTTAAACTAAACCCAACACCGCAGAAGAGGGTTCGGGAGAAGCCGTCGAAGAATCAGGGCTGAGTGCATGGGGAACTTCTGTATTGCGGGACGTTGTGGTGATTAGTTGTTTTAGATCTTTACTGGGAACTTTTGTAGGCTTTGGGGGGGCGTGTGGTTAGTTGGTCTGCAAGCGTGTGCCACTGGGAAAATGGGGTCTGTGTTGGGCATTTGTTTACGTTTCGGGGCATGCAGTGCGCAGTGGTCCGCGGACGTGTGCCCCTGCAGAAACAGGAAATGCAAGGACTTTGCAGGGACCCCCCTCGTTGCGGGTGTGCCACTCGGGGAATGTGTAAGAAACACCAGATGCAAGGACTTAGTCGCTTAGGTATTAAAAACTAAACGTTCCTTGTTGAGTTTGAGTACCCTTAAACATGTAGATAGCTACCCCACTGTGACAAAGGATAAGCTATGTCCTGTTCCATCCGGGGTCTGAGGCTCGCGGGCTACTAGATGACTTCTGGGCCCAGACTTAGCACCTGGGTGAACAGAAACGTGGCAGGGACTTCAAGAAAGCAATCAAAAAAACACACACAGGTTGTGCTAAACCCGAAACCCTGAAGACCTGAAGCCCTAAACCCTAAACTCTAGCCCCTGAACTTTGAAACTTGGAACCCTGAAGCCCGAAAAAGACCTCCATCTTCTGTGGAAGGCTGATGGCGATGGCCTGCGGCAAAGTAGAGCTCCTAAACCCTAAACCCTAAACCCTAAACCCTAAACCCTAAACCCTAAACCCTAGGACTAGGGCTCCCGAGCTTTTCGAAGGCCCCTCTTCCGGGCGTTCCATTGCTTTTTTGTTTGTAAGGTTTTAGGGCTTTAGGGTTTTAGGATTCCAGGGTTCTAAAGTTTAGGGCTTAGGGTTTAGGGTCCAAGGAAGTCGGCTTTAGGCCTTCGTGTTTGAAGTTTAGGGTGTATACTTATGCACGGATTGGGGGGCTGTTTTAAACGAGAAGAATGAGAAGCCTTTTTGGGACTCTAAGTAACCCTAGGGCTGGCGCTTTTGGGCCTTTAACCCTCGGGCCTGCCATCGAGGTCTCATGGTTCAGATATCAACTTCCCCCTCAGGCAGCTGGTCGCAAGTCGAAGGGTGAGCTTCGGTAACGAAGGAGTCTGGGGAGTTAGGGGTTTAGGGGGTTTAGGGGGCTTAGCGGGGTTTAGGGGGTTTAGGGGGTTTAGGGAGGTTTAGGGGGTTTAGCGGGTTTGGGGAGTTTAGGGGGGTTTAGGGGGTTTAGGGGGTTTAGGGGGTTTAGGGGGTTTGGGGGAGGAGACCGCTCGTTCATGCAAGCCCTCTTGGATTCGAGGAGATTTCTGGGTTGGGGGGGGCTCCCAAGTGCCTTCGGCCAAAGTTCGTGCAGTCCTTGCGCCCAAGAGCCCCATACACCCTCCCCCCCCCCCCTCCTCCCGGAAACCCCCGTAGTAGCGCCTTCTATAGAGGCCCTTGTTTCTCACCTGTGCTTGCTTCAGCCCCTGCGCACCTGCGGATCAGGATCTGTCTGCACGAGGTCTGCAAATGGACCTGCGCGGCAGAGCATGCTCGACATCTCAATCCCCAATAGGGTTTAGGGTTTAGGGTTTAGGGTTTAGGGTTTAGGGTTTAGGGTTTAGGGTTTAGGGTCGAATCGGGCCAGGGTTTATCCCCAAGGCAGAAGGGCCTAATTAGGGTAGAGGGGCTCTAAATCCCAACGTTCCGCGGCTTCGGGTACAACCCTGAACTCCTAAACCCCTATAAACCCCAAGGGTCCGTTTTGGGGTTGGGTCTAGGGTGTTTTTTTCGGACGTGAAGTCGGAAAGCTTCCCAACTCTAACTGTCTTTGGGGAGGTGGGGGGGGGGGGGGGGGGGGGGGGCGTGGGGCTTCGATTTCAAGTTATCACACTGATAACCCGGCAGAGCACGCCCAAAACCATGAAAAGTCTAGTTGTACCTGGGGCCCTCCCTGCACAACAGGAGAGAGAACCTATCTCGGCCTTAAAGCAATCTGCAGTTGAGGGCTTGGGTTCAGGCTTTTCGGGTGTTGCCTGGTGTTTTTCGAGCTGTTTAGACTGACCCGGAGATTCCCAGTGCCATAAACCTTATAGACTACAGAGCTTCGCTTTCCTCAGGATCAGGGGCGGCTAGTGGCGTTAGTTGCGTAGGTTGTGCCCAACTGGGTTCCGTCCGCACCCTCTAAACCTCTGAACCCTAAAACCCAAAACCCTAAAACCGCACTCCAAAACCCCAAAACCCCAAAACCCCAAAACCCCAAAACCCAAAAACCCAAAAACCCAAAAACCCAAAAACCCAAAAACCCAAAAAAACCAAAAACCCTAAATCCCTAAAACCCTACAACCCTAAAACCCTCAACCCTACATGCGAATGCTGTGTGGGGCTCCTCCACAGATCTTGTTGACGTCCCAGAGCAGTTCGGGCGTCTTGGCCTTTGTCTTGTTAAGGGTTTTGGGGGTTCAGGTATTAGGGTTTTCGGATTTTGGGGGGTTATGGTTTTAGGATTTGGCGTTGAAGGGCTTGGGGTTTAAGGTTGCCATAATGTGCTTTCTTTCTGTGCATGTGCAGGAAGGCTTCGGCATGGCAGGCAATGTTGGCTATGGCTGTTTTTGTCTCCTGCACCACTACCGGCGTCGCTATGGGGAGGGGGAAGGGGGGGGGGGGAGTTCATGTATACCATTTCAAGGATACATGCCAACCAACCCTAAACCCTCAATTGTGCATCAACAAAGGTTTCATGCACAGTCTAAACCCTAAACCCTAAACCCTAAACCCTAAACCCTAAACCCTAAACCCTAAACCCAAAGTCCGCCAGAAGAGTAAGGTCCAGGCATGGAAGAGGATTGCCCAGAGGTCTGCAAACATGCAGCTCATTGTCCACGAAACCTGCCCGCCCCAACTATCGGCTGAGGGTCTATAGGGTTTAGGCGTTTCGTGGTTTAGGATTTAGGGTTTTGGGTTCAGGCTTTTAGGGTTTAGGGTGGCGATGGTTGAGGGCTTCTTGCTTAGCTTTGGGGTCTTCAGTGGGCAAGCACAGATCATCGGAACTAGGCACTTCTGCACTTCACCAAGGCCACATAATATAGGGGACTTCATAATTAGAAGAAGAGGGCTTTCGGGGTTGTTATGGCATAATTCCACAGGGACCATAGGGGAAACTAGTAGTGTTTATTCCGACCCCTGTATTACCCTAAAAGGCAGGCTAAACCCAAACCCTAAACTCTAAACCCTAAACCCTAAACCGGGGCAGGTGCAGGTCTTGTAAGAACCTGTCAGGGGGGGGGGGGGGTAACGATACTTCAGCAGCCAGTCCAAACAGGCCCAGCCGTACAACTTCAAAAGGCTTGGGGCTCTTAAGGCTTGCGGCTGGGACACCCTTGATTAAGGTTTAGGGTTTAGGGTTTGGGGTTTGGGGTTTAGGGTTTAGGGTCGAAGGCAAAACCGCACAAGCCTCAAGATTTCAACTCTGCCTCCCTCCCTCTGGTCTCTCCCCTAAAGCCTGAAGGCCCCTAAACCCTAAACCCTAAACCCTAAACCCTAAACTCTAAACCCTAAACCCTAAACCCTAAACCCTAAACCCTGTAAACCCTAAACCCTGTAAACCCTAAACCCTAAACCAGCCCGACCGACGTGCCTTCTTGAACAACGTGGGCGTGAAGGGCTTGTTGGACTTCATGTAGAGGTTCGGAAGACGATTCTGATCGGCTTTCATAGGGTTTAGGGTTCAGGGTTCAGGGTTTAGGGTTGAGGGGTTCAAAAAAAAGCTGTGGAATCCTGGCAGCTCTGAGCACTTAAACTTTCAGAAGCTCCATCTTAGAAGCCTGACTACAAGGCCTGTGAGGCGTGGTCGCTTGGGCCTCCGTTAGCACCACCTCACGCTAAAGGTACGGGACTTCTGTGTCCTGTGATCCCTCAAACCCTACAGTGAGGTCCCCCGCTACTTAATCAAGAATACAGGAGTAGGAGCCAAGATCAGTGTTCATCCTTAGAGGTTGTAACCCGCTGATGGATTGAAAAGGGCGTGGAGAGGTGACCTCCCTGTACTCACATCCTAAGCAGAATTTGGCGGGAGGGAGGCTCTCTGCAAACACCCCTTTCGTAGTAACCCAAACCTCGTAGGAACCTGCTATAAAAGAGAAGCCACAATAGGCCCATAATTTTGCTCAGTCCCAATATAGGCAATGGACACAAATGGGTTTCGGACGGCTACTTAGATGGGCTTTAGGGTTATAGCGTTGAGAGCTTAGGAGACATCAGCACTTTCCGCAACCGGATGGCTTGCTCCGCAGCTCCGCACCTCAGTGTTTCTTCCAGCAAAGCCTGACACACCTCTGATTCCAAGACCCTGCTACACTCTGAAAGACCCTTAACTTCACCCCCCGGAATCCGCCCAAAGCTCCTGAATCCCCACAAAAAAAACATGAACACCCCAAAGTGACAAAGATCAACAAGACCATCACAAGGCTACCCCAAACCCTAAACCCTAAACCCGAAACCCTAAACCCTAAACCCTTCACCTCATTGAGCCGGTCGTTGGAGTGATCCTTCTTCAGCTTCTCAAAGAACCTTGGAGCGCGTTCGGGAAAAGGAAGGTTGGGCTTAAAGGCTTCGGGTTCAGGGTTCAGGGTTCAGGGTTCAGGGTTCAGGGTTCAGGGTTCAGGGTTTAGGGTTTAGGGCATTATGATTCTATGCAGGGCTTTGGCGTTGTGGGTTCTAAGGTTCGTGTTCAGTCATATGAAGTACATACATATATGTGTATATATATATAAATATATGTGTGTGTATGTGTATATGTATATGTATAGAGAGAGTGGCGCCCACACACACATACACACACACAGGTATATATATGTATATGTTCTACTTGTAACTAAGCCCTAAACCCTACCTCCTCCTCAGGCCCGAGCATGTCGAAGTCCTGCTGCCACTTCTCGGGGTTCAGCATCGCGTTCGTCTGCCTTGACTCACTGACTCAGAGGGTTTTTGTAGGCGATGAAACTCTAGCAGATTAGGGTTTAGGGTTTAGGGTTTAGGGTTTAGGGTTTAGGGTTTAGGGTTTAGGATTCTAGGAGGCCCTTGAAGCCCTACTACAGAGAATATTCCTAAATGGAAGTTTCCGAAAACTGGGGGGGGGGGGGGGTACCCATTTTGGGGGTTTTCGGGGGTAGCTTGGGGGGGGGTGCTTTCGAGCCCCGCTACTTGGGGAGCCGGGGCCTGAGACCCAAAACCCAATATGCCCCAGACCCACAACCCCAAATGCCTTTCATGAACCTCTGGCAGGGCCTTGAAACCCCAGCAAACTGATCCCTTGAACCCTGAAACCCCCCTCAACCCCCCCCCCCCTCAACCCCCTCAACCCCTCAACCCCCCTCAACCCCCTCAACCCCCTCAACCCCCTCAACCCCCTCAACCCCTCAACCCCTCAACCCCCTCAACCCCCTCCCCCTCAACCCCCTCACCCCCTCAACCCCCTCAACCCCCTCAACCCCCTCAACCCCCTCAACCCCCTCAACCCCCTCAAAACCCCCTCCTCAACCCCTCAACCCCTCAACCCCCCAACCCCCTCAACCCCCTCAACCCCCTCACCCCCTCAACCCCCTCAACCCCCTAAACCCCCTAAACCCCCTAAACCCCCTAAACCCCCTAAACCCCCTAAACCCCCTAAACCCCCTAAACCCCCTAAACCCCCTAAACCCCCTAAACCCCCTAAACCCCCTAAACCCCCTAAACCCCCTCTAAACCCCCTAAACCCCCTAAACCCCCTAAACCCCCTAAACCCCCTAAACCCCCTAAACCCCCTAAACCCCCTAAACCCCCTAAACCCCCTAAACCCCCTAAACCCCCTAAACCCCCTAAACCCCCTAAACCCCCTAAACCCCAAACCTGCAACCGTAAACCGATCTTCCTCTTGAAGGACCAAGGAAATCAGATAAGGGCCTAGCTTCGGGGGCGAGGGTGGCTTTTCAGGTCCAGGGCGTGTATGTGCCCTGATTCAGGGGTTTGGGGTTTAGGGTGCAAAGTTTTGGGGCTTAGGGTTTTCAGGGCTTTAGGGTTTTGGGGTTTTGGGGGTTTAGGGTTGTACGGTTTAGGGCTAGGGTTTTGGGCTTCAGTTCAGTGTGCCTATGGGTTGACCTGTCTGGGCGTCCCGGCTCGTCCACAAGGGCCTCAATAAATCGGCCCGTGGCAATCGGCGTCCGCTTTGAAGACCTGGGTCGTTGAGAGCGCACTCTCTTCAGGATCTATACTTTGATTTACCCTAACCCTAAACCCTGAACCCTAAACCCTGAACCCTAACCGCAACCCTAACCCTAGGCCCTAAACAGGGTTGTCAGGGGTCAGGGTTGGGGGCTCATGGAGAGGTATAGGCCAAAAGCAGGTGAAATATACCCTGTCTTGTGATACGGATCATCGCCCTAAAAGAAGCGGAACATCATATGCCAATATGAACAGACTTAAAGCCCACTCGTTGCATGCTTCCCTCGGCCAATATTCTCAGCACGCCCACAGTCATGACTTCCGCCAAAAGTGCGCACTCGTCCAGCACCCCCCTACTCCGACTTTAGACCAAGGCTGTGTCGTTGGACACTAGTGGTAGCTGCACGTGTGGTTCAACGTACCCTATAGCTAAGGGACCTGACTTAGTTCATCTTTAGCTGTATGGAGCACGACCCATATGAACCCTCGAAGCGCCACGGGCTGTGTCCAACATCGTTCCCACTGAAAGCCACATTCTGATCGGGGTACATTGTTTTTGTTTTTTCATTTTTTTTTGTTGGGGGGGGGGGGGGGGGGGGGGGGGGGGGGGGGTGGGGGGATACTGTATATTTACAGAACCTAGAACCCCAAAAGGGCAAAAGGGTCTCGTAACCGTTGTGCCATTTTCGGGAGGGTTGGCTACTCTGACAAGGCAACCCAACCTCGCAGGTTCGGGACTTCCTGTGCGGCAACTAAAAAACCCTAAACCCTAATCCCTAAACCCTAAACCCTAATCCCTAAACCCTAAACCCTAAACGCTAAACCCTGAACGATATGTTCTCACAATCCATAAGAGCTACGGATGCTTTAGGGTTGATGCTTTAAGGGATTTGAAGTAAGGTTTACATTCCGCGTATCCCCAAAAAGACACCCAACTTCTACACCCACCACTATTAAACAGGAACCTTATGTACGCCCACCAAAAACAGTAATTTGAACCTGCTTAATTTAGGGGTTCAGTTTGGGACTTTGGGAGGGGGTTGGCGCTTGGCGCAAGGACCTCGGATTCTTGCCCACGGCGAAGATGGTCTGCTCCTCGCTCCTGTGAGGGATGAGGGGGTTGGAGCTGCGCAAGTCTCCAGTTAAGCTTAGGGTTTAGGGTTTAGGGTTTAGGGGTTAGGGTTTAGGGTTTAGGGGTTAGGGTTTAGGGTTTAGGGTTTAGGGTTTCGGGTTTTGGGGTTTGGGGTTTAGGGTTTAGGGTTTAGGGTTTACGTAGGGTTTATTTAAGGTCGGACAGAATCCTTGACACCTGCTTCATCGTCATCGTCATCGTTGATAATGAGAAACCGCGAACATGGCTGATTAGCACGTGTGACAACTGTATGACCCTAAGGGTCCGTGTACCTCATTATTATCTACTTGGGCCCCAAAGTCCCTATATAGGAACTACTTTAAGGCCCAAGTATTCAATAATTAGGTACATGGACCCTTTAGGTGAATGCATGTATATTTCTGAGCTTCCTTGGGTTGTTGCCTGGAGAAGCTTTTCCAGAAGCAGCTTGACAAGAACAAGAAGTCCACGGCTTGGAGTACATGAGTTACAAAAAGGGTTTAATGAACCATCTACTTTGTTCCGTTCGCATTTTCGGGCAGCATCAGTACTGCCTTTCCATAGTTTCCATGGTAGCATGGCGTGTTACGACGAAAGTATTTGTCGACGCATTCCGCTCCACCACTCATGCTGACGGACGTATACAGAACTGGTCACGCAAGAGGGCAATATAACTTATGGTGCCGGTAAAGCAACACCTCTACCATCTGTTCCTGCGATGGCTGTAGCATCATGTGCTATGGCGTTGCCTGAACACCGGACTTCGTCACATTTTACATGCTTCCATGTCTTCACACACGTTGTCAACTGTCCCATGGCCCTGCATCTCTATCTGGTGAGGAAGCCATAACTCCCCATTTAAAGGACATCAATGTCCTCCTTCAGTCGCGGACGCAACAATAGAGCAACAAAGACTGGACACACCGGACACATCACAACTCTTGCCTTAAATCCTACAACCAACCGTCTTAAACCAACCCTATAAACCCCTTAGAAAACCCTATAAATCCTATAAACCTACAAACCCTATAAAACCCTAAACCCAATTTCCCCCTCGAGCCCAAAGAAACGAAGCCGGCCTCAATGGGAACTTCTCCACCACCCCTGCCCCCAAACCCTAAACCCTAAAAGCCCTAAACCAAACCCTGAATCCTAAACCCTAAAACCCTAAACCCTGGCCCTTAACCAGAACCCTAAAACGAAGCCGGCCTCAATGGGAACATCGGCCAGCCCCAGGTAGCCTCTAGCCTTCGGCGTCTGCTCTTGCTGGGCAGGGGCGAAAAGGGGGGGGGGAAGAGGGGGGGACCGGGGGTTTAGGGTGTTTATATTCCTAAACCCTAAACCCTAAACCATAAACCCTAAACCCTAAACCCCCACGGAAGAAGTGGGCGTCCGAGTTCTTCGGGGGAGGGCCAGGGGCTTCAAGGTTTTAAATCTTCAGGACTGAGGGGCTTTAAGGTTTTGGGGATTTCGGGCTTAGGTCTTTAGAGCTTCATTTCTTTAGGGCCTATAGGGGCTTTAAGAGTTTCCGGTAGTAGGGTACAGTTATGGGGGGCTGAGGACGTCAGGGCCTAGTTGTGCTCAAGCCCCTGTCTCATTGGTTGGTAGCCCAGCAGCCACACTACATATGGCTACCCCAAGGGTGGTCACTCACATACGGTGTGGGAGGGTTTCTGGTCTAAGTCTGGGCTTTCTGTGAGTGAAAGGCTTCCGTCGCGGATTTCCACTTGGCTGACACCATTTGTTACGTATTGCGTGGTCACCACTGGCTCCAGCAACTGGGCAATCCTCTGCGCCTCTGCCTGTGCATGCTCCACCAGGTGCATGCCCGGCATGGCCATCGCCTGGGAAGTGGGGATCTCCATAGTGCAGCGGCCCGTCTTTGTGGTGCTCGCAGCCGCCTTGGGTCCTGTCTTCGCCACTGGCCGTGCTTTCGGCTTCGGCTGCTTTCAGACTTGACCTTCGGGGGCATGGCCTTGACCCGCACACTTTGCTCCCCGGCCTTCCTCTTTTTGCTCACTCCACAAAAAGTACCCTGAGAAATGCAAATGTTACCCCACCATTACAATGCTTCGGGGTGCCGCGCAGCAGTCCTCCGAACTAGCCTACCATGGGCACGGCTGGGAGTCCCTAGATTGAGTCCGTAAATCAGGAGCCCCCTCTTTTGCCCTTGTTCCAAGGGTGCGTTCCTACGTATTTTCTATGTAGGACTGAACAAGGGGACCCAATTTAGAGAGCTAGCTACCCATATGAGTAGTGGGCAGTTAGAACACTGCGCCTGCACCCCAAACAAACAAAAACGGAACCCTAAACGTTCAACCCTACCACTCTAGCCCGAACAACTATAAACCCTAGGCCTCCCACAACCCTGCGAGCTTGCATCCTTGAACCTGTCAACCCCGCAACCCTACAAACCCTAAACCTGACAACCCTGCAGTCCCACAACCCAAAACAAACCCGAGCTTGCCGGCCTCAGCCACGTCATGATCGGGCCGGTGCTACCGGGGTGGGCATAGAGCCTTCAAGCGGGAGACTTGTAGGGGTTGGGCTTTGAGAGCTGCGAAGGCTTTGAAGTGTTTCTCTCCGTCAGCATCCAAGACATCCACCGAGAAACCAGCACGCGCAATACGGGGAAAACTCTTTGGCATCAGGAACTCCCGCCTGCCAGAACCCCTTGTAAGGGGTTGTATGAGGTTCCCAAGTTCCCTGGTTCCTTTGATGTGGCACAACCCTAAACCCTCAACCCTCAACCCTAAACCCTCTCCCCTGAATCCTAGACCCTAAGCTTTCAGCCCTCAACCCTAAACCGTAACCCTCAACCCTAAACCCTCAACCCTCAACCCAAGTCCTTTCTGAACCCTAAACCCTAAACCCTAAACCCTAAACCCTAAACCCTAAACCCCAAAAAGGCCCTGAGCTGGTCACTAAGGAGCAGGCAGGCCGTCCTCGGCCTTGTCTGGGTTAAACTCCGCCTCAGGATCACCGAACGAAGCCACATAAGGGTTTAAGGCATGGGGTTTAGGGTTTAGGGTTTAGGGTTTAGGGTTTAGGGTTCAGGGTTTAGGGTTTAGGGTTTAGGGTTTAGGGTTTAGGGTTTAGGGTGTAGGGTTTAGGGTTTACGGCTTAGGGTCGGGTTTCCGAAATAGCTGCTTCAGGGGGGGAGGTCTCGCGCTTGTGATGCGCCAGAACGAATAGGCTGAGCCAGCAAAGTACCGCAACATCACTCCCGTCTTGCCACTGCGCTTTGGCACCTTGCTAAACCAAAAGCAGCTGTTAGCTACACTATTAAGTAAGAAGCCCGATAAACCACCAAAATGGCGATGGATGCGCTAGGTTACAGTAAAGAACCACAGACTGAGTGTGTTGAACCAGATGACACAGAACTGACGACGACATACGGCGAAGGGCGCCAAAAGCCCCTAAAGCCCGCGGGGCTTAAGGTTTAAGGGTTTAGGGTTCCTAAACCCTACCAAAGCGACCCAAAGTACGCCCCGGGCCCGAAGCCGCGTCCAGCTGTGGCTCCCGGCCATGCTAGGGTGGAGCCTCTGGTCGCTTAGAGGGAAATTTGTGTTTACGGGTTTAGGTTTTAGGGTTTGGGGTTTAGGGTTTAGGGTTTAGGGTGTTCAGGGCTTAGGCGACCTACTACTCCCCCATTGGGACACCCCTTATGAACTTATGAACTTGGATGCTCGTGATTCTAAAGAGGGGAGGGAGGTGGTGGTATTGCGGACTCGTTGGAAAAGAGTCTCCCTAAGTTGACACCGTTGTTGGGGGACCGCTTGTTCCAGGGGAGTGCCGGGCTAGAAAATGTAGCCTCAGCCCAGTATAGTGTGTATGTGTATGTATATATATATATATATAGACTAGTATAATTGAAAGATCCTCAAAGACTGGGTAGAAACAGGTTTCTACAACGAATGAATTTGGGCAAATTCGCTGACACCCAGATGTACGGGGACCCAAGCACCTCATCTAGACCCAAGAGTAACCTAGGAATACAAAAAGGGGTGCCCTTTTTGGCTTGAAGGGGCCTAAAGGGAACCTAAAACCCCAAAAAAAGGAATAAGGGAACCGTTAGGGAACCTAAGCCCTAAAAAAAGGGTGAAAAGGAGCCTACTACCCTGGGCCATTGGCTAGGTCCACTCCGACGGCTTCTCTAACATTCCTAAACAACATGCTCTTAAACTTACATCTCCAAAAACCAAGGAAGCAAAACTGTAGTCTGCTATTATTTCATTTGAACGATTACATACATATGTATATAATAATAATTCTATTCATAATACTTATTGTAAATTGATAGGTTGAAGGTCAACTGCTGTAAGTAAACCCACGTGTGAACATGCGAAAGCAAGCCTTACACCCTGTTAGATCCCAAATATCCCAGGGTCAAACCCCTGGCCCTACAACCCCCTCTCTAAACTATGGTCCGTTTTGGGGTACCCTAAGTATTATGTGAGGGCCGCCTGACAATTGCGAAAAATTTATGGCCCCGAAGGGACATTATCTTAGAGTTGTGACCATGCAAGCCCTTCTATACCAGGATTGTGTCTATGAGGTCTGAGAACCCCATACCATCAACCTCTAAAGGGTGTTTTCAAATGGGACTACCCTAAAGCTTAAAACCCTAAACCCTAGCCCTAAACCATCCTGCTATATGGGATCCGAACCCCAACAAGAAGGGTACGGACTGGGCATCCGGGGATGGGGGGGGGGGGGGGGCGGGGAATGGGTGGGAAACTCGGCAGAAGTTACCATGACTAAGGCAAGGCTTCTGACCCCAGGGCCCCTGAAAAACTCTGCTGAAATTTCGGGGGCCTCAGCTTTTGACTAAAATCCCTGAACCCTATATCCTAAACCCTAAACCCTACACGGGCCCTCTCACAACTTTCTCCCGTCCAGGCCACTCCAGTGCAACCAGAATGAAGGGGTTCGTCACCTTGCGCATGCTGGCCACCTGCTCTTTGCACCCGGGGGGTGGGAGGGGGAGTGGGTGGTGGGGTTTAGGGTTTAGGGTTGAGGGTTTAGGGTTTTTGGGTTTAGGGTGTAGGGTTGAGGGACCGTCGTCCAGGATTCAGGACTCAAGAATGGAGTGCTCCTTGGGACTATAGCGCGGGGGGACACACACCACACAAGAAAGTGAAAACCGAAACAAGTCTGATACATGTCCTAAACCCTAAACCCTGAACCCTAAAAAGCGCATCTAGAACGGCCGAAGCCCGTGCCCCCTTGCCGTGAGCACACTTGGCAGCGCACTCTTTGGTCGCAGATGGTGAAGGAATCTGTTCGACACCTCGACATTTAGGGTTTAGGGTTTAGGGTTTAGGGTTTAGGGACTACAAACCTAAACCCTAAACCCGAAACACTAAAGTATGTGTAAAGGATCCTGAAACCCTCTAGCACCCTAGGCCCTAGACCCCCTAGCTTGCCCAGCAGCCTGGAGAATCAGTGGGTGCCCTGCTCTGCTTCAAAAAACGGAAGCGAAGCGCGCTGAACCCCATGGTTTAGGGTTTAGGGTTTAGGGTTTAGGGTTTAGGGTTTAGGGTTAAATCACAAGAGGGAGTCGAGGCACTCCTCCATGGCCGCCAGGCACGCGGACATGCGAATGCCAGTCGGCTTGGTGTCGGGGAACATCACCTGTCGGCAACAACCCCCGAAAACCCTAAACCCTAAACCCTAAACCCTAGACCCTAGACCCTAAGACCTAAACCCTACACCCTAATTACACCCGAAACCCTACACCCTAAACCCAAAACCCTGAACCCTAAACTTCCGCCTCAACCCAACAAACCCGAAGACGCTGGCCATTGCGCTTCCGACAGTTGAGATGAGGAGCACGCTCTGCCGATGGAACTAGTCAGCTTTCAAATCTCGCAATGTAGAGAGAGGACTTTAGGGATTGAAGGTCGAATTTCAGGTTCAACGATAGATAGAAGCAGGGTTTACAGGTACCCTGGATAGGGTTCTATCCATGCTTACCATGCTTAAAACCCTAAACCCTAGGTCGTACGAACCCTAAACCCTAGGTATCCTGAACCCTACGCCCTACTTACCCTCTACCCTTTTACCCTAAACCCTAAACCCTAAACCTTAAACCCTCTACCCTAAACCCTAAATCTACTCACAACCATCCAGGGACCTTTAACTGTGGCGCTTCTAGGTTTAAGCGTAAGGTTCACGGCACCCATAGGCCCAAATGAACCAAGCATCCCCAAAAAAAGAAAGAGCTTCAAAGAGTGCAGAAATCAACTAAGGTTCAGGGTCTAGGGTTTGGGCATAGGATTTAGGACCTTAACCTACCTCTCTCCCCTTTCTCTTGAAGGGATGATAAGGGTACCTCATTCCCCCCATTCCCTACTAACCAACAGTAAGAAGAAGGCCTAAAACCTAAACCCTAAACCCTAAACGCCTTGTGGTAGTAAGCAAAAGGCTCACCAGGCACTTGCATGTACTCCGGACCGACCTGGCTGTCCGTTGGCATAACTTCAGAAGGGGGCGGGGGTTTCTTTCAAAGTTACCAGCAGAAGGGCGATAGATTCTAGCCCTAAACCCGAAACCCTAAACCCTAAAACCTAAACCCTAAACACAAAACCCTAAGCCCTAACCCTAAACCCCCTTCTGGCAGCTTGACTTAGGTTCCTTAACAAGGGCCCGGGCGAGGTCTTCGGATTTAGCCCTGGGTTCAGGTCCTACCTAAACCCTAAACCCTTCTACCTCAACAACCCCAGAACCTGCAATTGTGTGTGCTTCTTCTTGTCATGTCACTTAGGCAGCCTAAACAGTTGATGTAGGTTGTTACGTTAAGCTCCTTATCTAAGGTGGCCCTTAAACCCCACTACAAAACTCTCCTATATATGGTCCTCATGAACCTAATCAGGGTATTTTGAAAATGTCCCAAGAGCCTACCGAGTTGCTTTAAGCTCCATATCATATAATTGACTCTTAGATACACTATATCTAATAGCGGCCCATACTTCGGATCCCTATCAACGAGGGTAAGGGACCACAGGCCCAAGATTCCAACCTTAGATCCGTATCATGACTCGCAGGTACTCCTTATCACTTTGCTTTAAGCACCCCCAAAAAACCAGAAGATGATAAGCCCTATATTGTCCTCATAAGGAATCCAGGAGGCATCTGTTAATTCTTGGGGGGTGGGGGTTCTTAAGCAAACAGTAGACCATGACTCCTATGGGTGGTTGTCAAAATTATGGTCCCTTTTTGGGTACCCTAAATATTAGGTGCCGTATTATAATGGGGATCCAAAAAGGGACCATAATTTTGACAACCACCCCTATAGGTAACCGAGATGAGGTGCGTAAGCTAGGCCTTGATCGAGGCGTAGGTTCTTGGATTGTAGACGGTTGAGTAGGGTTTAGGGTTTAGGGTTTAGGGTTTAGGGTTTAGGGTTTAGGGTTTAGGGTTTAGGGTTTAGGGTTTAGGGTTTAGGGTTTGGGGTTTGGGGTTTGGGGTTTAAGGGTTAGGGTTTAGGCAGGGTTTCGGGGTGCGATGTGGGAAGCCGCAGGCAACTGAATCCTGCAAGCACTTGCAGGCGCCTGAAGTTTCCGGGTCGTCACTCCGAAACCCACGACGAAACTCCGAAACCGAGAGAACCAAACAAATCATCCAAAACATCCCTGGCAACCTGCAGCCGAACTTACCAAAGCAAACACGACACGCAATCCTTGCAGGTCATGGCTAGCAGAAAACAAGTCGGCTGGGCAGCTGCACCGAAACCGGCACCTGCCATCTCATCCTCATCCTGCGTTCCCCAGTTTTTAGGGTTTAGGGTTTAGGGTTTAGGTTTTCGGGTTTAGGTAGTGTTCTCGCTTGCCACTTTCTCATAGCAGGCACCAGGTGATATAGGTTTGGGGGTTTTATAGGGTTTAAGCCTGAATATTAATTAGACTAGGGTTTCGGGAGTTCTTATAGATGGTTACAAAGGGACCCATTCGGGAGTACTATTGCTGTAGAATTTTTTCTGACCCCTATATTAGGGTGTTCGATGTTCGATCGTCATCATCTATGGCGAGCAGCAGGTACGGTGCCCAATGTGCCTCGAGAAAGGGATCCCAAAAAGGGAACCTAATTTAGAGAACTACCCATAGGCTACTCTAGGCCCTTTGAAGGGCCCTTGAAGTTAGGGGAACCCGAATTTTAGGAAGCCCCCTTTCTACCCCAGGACATCTGAAGCTCACAAGAGTTTCCTTCTCCAATGCGCGAGGACATACAGTCACAGTATACGTCCTTTCATCACTTCATAGCCCTAAACCCTACCACCCCCCCCCCCCCCCCCCCCAAGCAGCAGAAGTGAGCGCGGTCCCGCCACCCCATTCCGCTCGAACCTCATCGGCACGCTCAACGCGCAAACTTAAACCTAACCTTAGACCAACACACCCTAAGCCTGGCACAAGACGAACAAGACGTGTCAAGGTCCAAGACTTCCAAAAGGGGTTCACGAGCAGCACCATTGGGGTCCGTATGGTTTCTTTTTTGAAGCGGCGTAGCTAGGTTTGGGGCTTCGGGCTTCGGGCTTGGGGCTTGGGGCTTGCGGTTTGGGGTTTAGGTTACGACTTTTAGGCTTCCGGTTTTTTAGGGTTTTTAGTTTCGGGCCATAGGGTTTTAGGGTCTTGGGGCTCAAGGCCTTAGAGCCTTATCGTTCCGGGGCCTGAACAACCCTACCCCTACGGGTCCAGGTACCTGATTATGTGATACTTGGGCCCCCAGAGTCCATATATAGGAGGTACTTTAAGAATGTTTAGGGTTTAGGGTTTAGCGTTTAGGGTTTAGGGTATAGGGTTTAATTAGGGTTTAGTTCAGGTACATGGACCGCTTGGGCACTAGAAAACCTTCAATCCGAAAACCCACACCCACCGATCAGTGAAACCCGATTCTCTGTAGGACCTATAGACCTGGCTGTGCATACTGGACTAGACCCGAGAGTAACCGAGGAATAGAAAGGGTGCCCTTTTTGGTGTATAAGGGAACCTTGACCCTGAAAGTGGGAATAAGGGCCTACTCTGGGTCCGAGTAGCTGTGCACCTGAAACCCGAAACCCTAAACCCTAAGCCAATGGAAGCACTGCAGTCAGTGTTTCAGAAAACGCCGGGTTTAGGGCTTAGCGTTCACGGAGGGGGGCTGCCTCCGGCAGGATCTTCACAACATGCAATGCATGTCCTATACATGAATCCAAGAGAGCCCAACACCCCTTAAATAAGGAATATACTATAAATCATACTAGCCTTAATTCAGGGGTATTGGGCTCTTTGGGAACTCAGTGTGCGCAGGACAAGCCGAGGGTGTAGCTCCTTTCAGACTCGAGTAAGCGCGCGCTCGGAATTGCACGACACAACTGGCGTGCCAGCATGTCTTGCTTGCCCACGGAACTAGAACACCTAGAGCCTTTGTGAGGCTTAGGGTTTGGGGTCGGATTGACGGTTGGGCAAAAATGACATCCTCTGAAGAAGGCGGCACCGCAGCTTAAGAAAACACCAATGGACGCTGCTTTCCAGCAAAGGAGGAAGCGTAGGCTCCTGTGCGGTCTGTGCAGCCTTCGAAGATGGGCTTCGGGTTTACCTGGACCCCCAAAGTATGAAAAAAAAAACAGCCGAGAACTGGGCCGAGAACCCAAAGAACAGGGCGGGCTGTCATTTTGCATATTTGGGGGGTTTAGGGTGTAGGGTTTAGGGTTTACGGTGCCCCACCAGGTTGCTGTCGGTATTCGGACGATTTGGAAACCCAATTTTGCCCTCTCTGGGTCAGATATAGACCCAAAGCAGCTTTAAATTGTAAAGGCTGGAAACCCCCGAAACGGCCCTATCTGGCCCAAATTGGGTTGGGAAACCCTTATTTAAACACTGGAAACCCCCAAAACAGCCTTGTCTTGGAAACCCCCCAGACCCATCAAAACGGCCCTATTATTTGGGCCAAATAAGGCCACAAAATCAAAAGATTGCTGGCAACCCCCGAAACGGCCCTGTCCGGGCCAGATGTCCCCCCAGATAGGCCAAACCAGCTTAAAAAGGCTGGACACCCAGATGGTTTTTAGGGTTTAGGGCTTAGGGTTTGGGACCCAAAATGGGCCTGTCTGGGCCAGATAGGGCTTGAACCCCCCCCCCCCCAGATAGGTCAAAACAGCTTTAAAGGCTGGAAACCCCCCAAAACAGCCCTATCTGGGCCATCAGGGCTGGAAACTCCTATTTCGGGCCAGATAGGGCAGTAAACAGCTTAAAGGGCTGGAAACCCACCAAAACGGCCCTGCCCAGTGTCCTTATCTGGGCCAGATAGGGCTGAAGAGAACTCTGAAGCAGATAGGGCCCACCAAAACAAGACCAGAGAACCCCAGGCTCAGGGAATACAACGAATCTCTTTCTGACCAGGATTCCAGCTTATTTCAACTAGCGATTTAAGAAATATCTGAGACTCTAAACAGGTCTTGCGGTTTTCTGAATATAAAACTCGACCATAGCTCTAAGAACTCGAAACAACTTCGGGCCAACCAAGCAGAACAACTAAGCCGTAAAAAAGCACGCGTATAGGTTTGCAAAAAGAAGAAACAAGACCGGAAAGCCCTAGCCTCTGACAAGCACAACAGACGAAAGGACGAACAACCTACTAACCAGTTCCTGTAAAACAGACCACCCTGTCTAAATCCCCCAATTCAGCAGATACCGCCCTTATCAGGTTCCGAAACCGACCCTAACCCTTGAAACCTAAACTGTTGGGAGAATTGAAGGGACCATGTTTCTCAGGGAGCATGCCCCAACAGTCTTAGATAACTCCAATACCTAAACCCTAAACCCTAAACCCTAAACCCTAAACCCTAAACCCTAAACCCTAAACCCTATGTCGCCAGGGGGCCGTCTGTAATCGCCGTCAGCGGTCTCTCACGGACCCGTGGTGGGGCCCAGGCAGGAAGCTCCTATGTTGTTGAAGCGTTTAGGGTGTAGGGTTTAAGGTTTAGGATTTAGGGTTTAGGGTGTAGGGTTTAGGGTTTAGGGTTTAGGGTTTAGGGTGTTGGGTTTAGGATTTAGGGCGGGCTGTTTTGAAGTAGCGGCGCCGTTCATCCTGTTTGTGTCTCGCAGTCTTGGGGTGTGTCGCTTTGCTTGCAACACTTCTTTGCTGGTTCTGCACTTCTTGTCTCGAGGTGCATGATAAGGCCATAACATAGGTCCCTAAACCCTAAATCCTAAACCCTAACCCTAAACCCTAAACCCTAAACCCTAAACCCTAAACCCTAAACCCTAAACCCTAAACCCTAAACCCTAAACCCTAAACCCTAAACCCTAACCCTAAACCCTAAACCTTCGTTGCAAGTGTTCCGGGCTTCGTTTGGGCAGTGGGATGCCTCTGCCGCTCCATCACTCATCCTCGAAGAGTGCTGCTACTTAAAGCCGTTTAGGGTTTAGGGTTTAGGGTTTAGGGTTTAGGGTTTAGGGTTTAGGGTTTAGGGTTTAGGGTTTAGGGTTTAGGGTTTAGGGTTTAGGGCACTTGTATGTTCCCACAATGTCACAAGCTCTAACCCCCAAACAGGGCTCGGGGTTTAGGGTTCGGGGGGGCTCGGCCCTCCGATGTTAAATGAAGGTTACCTACTCGGCTACAGAACAGAGCCTTAGCCCTAAACCCTAAACCCTAAACCCTAAACCCTAAACCCTAAACCCTAAACCCTAAACCCTAAACCCTAAACCCTAAACCCTAACCCTAAACCCTAAACCCTAAACCCTAAACCCTAAACCCTAAACCCTAAACCCTAAACCCTAAACCCTAAACCCTAAACCCTAAACTCTAGCTTAAGGTAGCGGGGTGCGGCTCAAGGGGCTTAGGGAGTTATGGCTTTAGGGCTTTCCGAAAGCAGTTCAGGGGCTTAAGGGGGCCTAAGGATCCTTTGAACCCAACAAATAACCCAAAACCCCAAACCCCAAAACCCTATTGTGTAACAACACTTAGGAGCTTTAGAGTTTCAGGGCTTTAAAGCTTCAGATGTGGTAGAGCCCTTGCCGCGTCTACAAGTAAGGGGTAACGTGCTCCAGGAATTTGGGGGTTTTGGGGTTCAGGGTTTGAGGTTTAGGGTTTACCCCTGAGGCAAAAACTATCTCGAAGTTCACCCAAATACATAGCTCCGTAGTTTTCGCCTCTCAAAAAACAGGACAGTTCTCTAAATTATTGTGACTTGCTGCGGGGCCGCCGCTATGCAAAGGGCCACTGGTCCTTAAGGTACCCACGAGGAGGCCATAAGAGCCTGAGACGTACTAGTCACTGTTGGAGCCCTAACCCCCAAAGCTTAAACCCTAAACCCTAAACCCTAATGTTCCGAAATCCCTAGAACTGAGCCCAGAACCCTGAAGTCTAGGGCTCTTACGACTTAAGGGAAGAAACCCGAAGCTTCTTGGCCTTCCATGGCCTAGTCTACCCTAAACCCCTAAACCCTAAACCCAAAGCTTCTTGGGCTTCCATTGCCTAGTCTCGCTCATAAAAGGCACTCACATGAAGCACATCCGTCCCATCCTTACTTAGAGGTTCATGGTACTTATTAACCAATCATAAATCCACTTGTAACCTTTTTGTAAGCCCCTTAAGTGCCCTAATATGGTGAAAAGTACAGTTATAAGAACAGTTACAGTTGGTTAGTAAGTACCATGAACCTCCAAGTACACCCCACAGACAGCACCGCATCCTGTTTCAGGGAGGTACACTCCT